AAAAAGAAAAAAAAAAAAAAGCACGGAAAATCGACGAAAACTAGCCTGGTACCTACGGTTTCAAGTCGAAAAAAGTACGAAATTCAGATGTCTAGAGAGAGTTTGGGAATAGGAGAGAAAAATTGAAAAAAAAAATGAAAAAGGTCCGCTGCAAATAAGCCAATTTCAGTAAAAGTTCCGCTGCCAATAGCAACAGTCTTTATGTCGCAACATAATAAGATAAAACCACTTTTATTTTGTTTTACCAAATAAGATAATTGGGAAATTAAATGCTACATATGGTTATTAACACTGGGTGAATCTGAACTGTAGATCTATACATAATCATACACACACAAACATTGTCATATGTATGTTTGATTAGTGGGTAGTTATTTAATCAAATCTACGGTTCAAATTCATCCAATGTAAATAACCAAGTGTTGCATCTATCTTCCCAAGATAATCCAAAGAATAATAAATTCTAATAATTTTCATGAATTAAAGAAGAAAAAAATAATAATAATACCTACCTACATATTATGAGAGAGAGTACGCTTTTATGTTTGGTACTATTAACTAACAATTAGCCCAACCGATTGCAGACCTTTTTGAAATTTAATACTCCATCCGTTCTTAAATATGTGTCGTTTTTCACCTTGACACAAGTCTTAAGAATCTCAATAAATATATCTTGATTGTAGGAAAATAGATATAAATAGACAAAAACACCCTTATTTACTAGTTAATGCAGAAAGAATGTTGAAGAGTTAATACTAGTATAATTGAAAAATATGTAATTAATACAATATTGGAATTGTAAAATGACAGAAAATATGAAACAAAAAAAATTATTAAAAAAAACAAATATTGTGGAATAGAGGGAGTATTACGTCCCTTGACCAAACATTTAGTAAATTATATTGTCCTCTCTTGAGGTTCGATCTAATTACATATAATTAACTCTCGGGGGATGAGAATCTAATTAACTCAATATTTGGTTAATGATAAATATGGTACTTGAAAATTTCAATGGTCAAATATGTTAACTGTTACCTAGTATGGAACTTAAAGGGGTCTATTTGTAATTTCAAAATTATAGAATTTCTAGTACTGTAATTAGACCTAATAATTTCAACGAACCTTAAACGAGCTCTAATGGCACTCAAATCTTATTCGGTAGGAGGTAACCTTGTTCAACATGGTTTGGTAAGAAAATTTGAATGAATCAGTTTCTTGCTTAACGATTCAGCTGGGAATTTTTAACTTAGGACATCTCCAATGGAGTAAACTAAACTCCATTTGGCTTCAAAATATAAAAATTGTGGAAAAAAATTCAACACCAACAAGAAATTTAGTGGAGCTCAAAATTCTCAGATTTTCGCAAAATCTGCAAACTTGTCCTAAATATAGGACTTTGTTTGGAGACTCATATGTATTTCATGGGACTTTGTTTAGAGACTCAAAATTATAGAGCCCTCGAGTCTGATATTTCATTTTTTAGAGATTCTAAGATTCCACCTGATCTCCAAAATATAATTTGAAGACTCGATTTGCTTACTCCATTAGAGATGTCCTTATTTGTTAAAGAGGTGGATTTGACATATGTAATTTTGATTATTCCAATTATTCTTCTCTCTTTATCTCCAACAAATTGTTTAAAATTAATTGCTTATATCTATAACATGAGAAGTGGACATTGTTTTAAAACACCACTTTTAACATTCACTGCAACAACATCGCTTATATTTCGTGCAAATATTAATTATTTATATCAGATTCAACTTTTTGTTACTATTGGATATATGTTTCAACATTTCGTAGAAACTGCATTATAAGAGACAATACTAATACAAATTACAACATAAAATATTAACCAATTAATGAGAATACTATTAAACCAAAGCAAAACCTTGAATATAGATCAAAGCTAAGTAGTTTCCTAAATGATTCTTCTGCCACAAGTCTTCCTTGTATTTGGGAATTTGTAGAACAACTACAAGCCATGCAATTTTATTTAGAATATAAAATTCTAATAGAATTCTAACAAGGTTTTTATTAATAAATCTTTATTACATTATGCCGATACATAATACTCCCTCCTTCCCTTAATATTTGACGTTTTAGGATTTTTCACACAAATTAAGAATCTCATTAATTATTCTTTAATTGGATAGAAATACCTCAGATTACCCTTTCCTCTCTCCAAATAATTATTCATTAATTCCATAGGTACCTAGAAGCTGAAGAGTTAGAGCAATTAACAGTAAGGGCGAAAATGGAAAGGAAAATATAAATTTGCTTTAGAATTTTAAAACGTCAAATAAATTGGAAAAAAAATTCATGGCCAAAACGTAAATATAAAGGGAAGGAGGGAGTATATCGGAAAATAAAAAACAAATTTCCATGCATCCACAGTATATGATGACCTCTCAAGCTGGTGGCTTGGGATTTCCAACTTCATTTGTCACCTCCATTCACAAATTGACCCACCTATCTTCCACGTGTCACTATACAATTTGCCGCTGGTGATATGTTGCAATTATTAATAGCTACAACTCATTTAATCACCAGCGAAGTCAAAATTTTAATCTTAAGGCCGAATGCATTTTTTTTTTGTGTGTGTAATTTCTATATAAAATAATGGGTAAATTACATCTACATGTATGTTTAAATAACTTTAAAGTCCCACCGATATTGATAATTACACTCACCCCTGAAACATAGATAAAAACTCTAATGAGATAATTCATTGGATACGTTATTCAGATAGAGTTCTAAAGGACTATATATTATTTTTAGCTAGTGGTGGAGACAACATAGAGTTATGAGGTGACATTGCTCTTCTAACATTTCTTAAATCACGCATAGCTCTTTACTGTCTCCACCCCTTTCGAAAACTAATACCGTTAAAACTCTATCGGAATAACGTATCCAATGCATTATCCCATTAGACTTTTTAACTATGTTTCAAGAGGTGAATGTAATTATCGATACCACATGAACCTTAAAATTATTTTAGCATATCTCAAAAGTGTGGGTGTAATTTACCCTAAATTAATAGAGATTTGAGAATATTGTAATGATCTCCTAGCTCTTCGCTGGCTCCTCCACAACCTTTAATGGAACATTAAAATATCGCCTTCAGTCCGATCGAGAAACGGGCTGCTTAGTAGAACTATGATTTTCATTTCATCCTCTTTATCAATTCCAATGAATTTATTGAAATAATTACACTAATTTATTAATTATAATTATTAATTTAACGATGATTTAATATTTTGTTAAATTAATAGAATTTTGCTCGTCTCAACTATAATTGATTTATAAATGTTCAATTGCATGTACAATGACAAATTTTCAAACTTGAATCACTAGACGCACATTCTTATTACTTGACCAACTAGACCATCGTTACGATCATCAAATAATATTTGATATATAGTTTGGATTATGGCTGGTCATGGATCGGTTTTATCGGCCAATCGATCCACTTTCGACCCGCTTCTTTTGGCCGATAATTTTTTCGTCCGATAATTTGTTGTCGGACCGGTAATTTTATCCGATCTATATAAATAGTTCGGTGGTTTTCAGTGTACTCAAAAGTCGATTGATCGGGTAATATCGGACAACTGACTTTAATAATATTTTTTTTATTATAAATATTTAATTGTAATTTTTATTTTCTTTAGTGTTAAAATAATTTATAAAAGAGGTAAAAACTCATAAACTTAAAACACAAATTTATAAACATCTCCATACTATTTATATTTTATAATTCTTATTTCATATTTTTCATTTATATATTTACTTATTGTAGAAGTTTAATTAAAAGAAATCCTTAATTTTTAAGTTAAGATTTTTGCTAACGCAAGTTTTCCCAAAATATCGAATATCTTATGAAACAATTTTTAAAAACATCTTATTATCGTAAGAAAAAAAAAAAAAATTGATGGCTGATAATACAAACCAACCAACCATCAATTGTTTACGCTCCAAAGTCGGTTGTCAACCATTACTCAATCCATAATTGTTTTTAATTTTCAGCAAAATCAGGTGGTCGGATCGAGTAAGTAATTGACCAATTACCCAACCCGACCCATGCTCAACCCTACTTTTAATACTTGTAAAATTGTTGGCTCCGAGTATATTAATATATAGATGATTAACTATATCTATAATGAGCAAATTTTCAAACTTGAATCACTATAAACACATTTTTCTTACTTTACACATTTTTCTCACTTTACCAAAGAAATTAATATTTGATATATAATTTTGAGTACTTGTATATAATTATTGAAAGGACACCACACAATGAAGTGATGAACACCGTACACCACTCCCACAAAGAAACCCTTTGGTAATAAATACACACACAGGGCCGTTATATATTCATCTCCCTCGCATTTCTCCTCTCTGCAGCGAGACCAAATAAAACCTCTCTTACGTACAAATTTCGTATCTACATTCCATACACATTTACCACAATGGAAGTTCTCCGTTTTGCCCCTGCGCAATCGATCCTCCTCCGTACCAATTTCACCGGCAATGACGCCGCCGCCGTCAACACTTCCTCCGCCGCCATCCGGAGCTCCCGCAGGAAGCCGTCGATTTACGCCGCGGCGAAGTCGGCGGTGGAGATTTCGCCGCCGATCGAGAAGCTTACCACGGCTGCGCCGCCGTTGAATCCACCTGCTAATCCGGCGGCGGACAGGCCTCTGTTGAGAGTTTCGCCGAGCTCTCTGCAGTGCGAGAGCGGGTACTTGATACCCAACGATTATATGGATAATGGCGGTGTGAGGAAGGGGAGTCCGAATGCGATGGAGTACCTGACCAATATTCTCTCGTCGAAGGTGTATGACGTGGCGTATGAGTCGCCATTGCAGCTGGCAACCAAGCTATCGGAGAGGTGGGGGGTCAATGTCTGGCTTAAGAGAGAGGATCTTCAGCCTGTATGTTAATTGATGTGTTGCTGCGTATTATTTGTTTTAATTGATGCAAGTTTATTTGCTTTAATAAATGTACTATTAATTAGGCAGAAAAAAATTGGAACCTCTGTTAATTTTGAGGTTCGTAAAGGAAACCGAAAGCAATTTGAAGATTATCGAAGAGACGAGAGCTCTATGATGTTTTTCGTTTCGATAAAAGTTTTTGATTGACAAAAAAAAAAGTGAAGGTTTCTTTACCTCTGTGTGCAGGTTTTCTCGTTTAAACTTCGGGGTGCTTACAATATGATGGCGAAGCTTCCGAAGGAACAGCTTCAAAGAGGAGTAATATGTTCGTCGGCTGGAAACCACGCGCAAGGTGTCGCGTTATCTGCCCAGAGATTGGGGTGTAATGCCATCATTGCTATGCCGGTTACCACACCAGAAATAAAGGTTAATCCTTATTCACTAAACATGTTCGGTTTTTCGGAATCCTCTCCATGATTAATCGAAGTGGTTTCTTTTTTTTTTCGAAATTCTTTTAAATTTGATATTGGTAGTGGAAATCGGTGGAAAGACTTGGGGCAACCGTTGTACTTGTGGGGGCCGCATACGACGAAACCCAATCTTATGCCAAAAAACGGGCCGAAGAGGAGGGTCGAACGTTTATCCCTCCTTTCGACCATCCAGATGTAATCACGGGGCAAGGAACAGTTGGGATGGAGATTGTGAGACAAATGAAAGGCCCTGTGGAAGCTATATTTGTGCCCATCGGTGGCGGTGGGCTTATAGCTGGTATCGCTGCCTACGTGAAAAGGGTCTCTCCGCAAATAAAAATAATTGGAGTTGAACCGTTCGATGCCAATGCGATGGCCTTGTCGTTGCACCACGGTCAGCGAGTAATGTTGGATCAAGTAGGAGGTTTTGCTGATGGCGTGGCTGTCAAAGTTGTCGGTGAAGAGACTTTCCGTATTTGCAGGGAGCTAATAGATGGGGTGGTTCTCGTTAGCCGTGATGCCATTTGTGCATCGATTAAGGTTAGTAGTCTCTCGTAACTTCCTAGAATTTTATCTTTCTTGATGGTCTGTTACGAACAGAAAAATCTTATCTGCTTATTATACCTGGTCTTCGATTTCTTTATCGTATACATAGGACATGTTTGAGGAGAAGAGGAGCATATTAGAACCCGCGGGTGCTCTTTCCTTAGCTGGAGCTGAAGCTTATTGCAAGTACTACGGGCTCAAAGGTGCAAATGTAGTAGCTGTGACGAGTGGAGCTAACATGAATTTTGACAGACTCAGATTAGTAACTGAACTTGCTAATGTCGGTAGACGACGCGAAGCTGTGCTGGCAACTTACATGCCGGAGGCACCTGGCAGCTTTAAGCTTTTCTGTGAGCTTGTGCGTATCTCTTAAATTAACGGGTTTTTAAGTGTTCGATTATCTCAAATATTTCGCCTATGTTAATACTTGCTATTTTTCTGATTGCAGGTGGGACCTATGAATATTACTGAATTCAAATACAGATACAGTTCGGATCAAGAAAAATCTCTAGTCCTATACAGGCAAGAGTTACTTTTGATATTACATTTTTTTTTCTGCATTGCAACGAATTCGGGAATTTATTTTCATTTACTTTTTGTTTTGCCTTCTCTGTTTTTGTTTTTGTTTTACAGTGTTGGTCTTCACACAGAAGCAGAACTTGATGAAATGGTGGAAAAACTAGAGTCATCACAACTGCATACGATTAATCTTACAAAGAACGATTTGGTGAAAGATCATTTGCGACATCTGGTAAGGACTTCTATAACTTTATTGAGCTCGTGAGGCGTTTTGTTTCATATTTCTCATATTATGTCCCTGAATTCGTGGAAATGGAATTATTTCTTTGTTTTTAGGAAGTCGTATAATTCAAGTACCAGTGAAGAAAGTTGATAAAAATAGTGTTTAGAATGTCAATCTTGGCTTTAGAATTTACGCGTTTGATAGGATCTGCAAATTATAGATTGCATATAGGTTTTTCTTTCGGGTTGAATTGCTAAAATGCTACTGTTTTAGTCTAGAATCATTTTGTATATATGCTTTATTTTTGAAGTATTTTTACGTTGGGCAATAAATTTGACGAACACGTGGCTTCAGAAAATTTTGGATTTATATATATATACATGAAAATCAGCACTCCGAACAAAGGGATTTGATAAATCTGCATGTACTAAAAGTGTGCATCACTGACTATATACTTTTGCTTCATGTGCTTTCTGTTTAAATCTATCAGATGGGCGGCCGATCAAATGTGAAATACGAGCTCTTTTGCCGTTTTATTTTCCCCGAGAGACCAGGCGCTTTGATGAAGTTTTTGGATGCTTTGAGCCCTCGTTGGAATATCACCTTGTTCCATTACCGTGGACAGGTTTTAATCTCAAACTTCTCTCTACACACACACACACACACCCACACACACACATACACACACACACACACACACACACACACACACACACACACACACACACACACACACACACACTCATAAATTTCTGACCCTTTTGCATTGCATCTCTAGGGAGAAACAGGAGCGAATGTGTTGGTCGGAATACAGGTGTCAGACTCTGAGATGGATGAATTTCGCGATCGTGCAGACAGCCTTGGTTACGAGTATGAAGTGGAAACCGGAAATGAAGCCTTCCAGCTTTTAATGAGATGAGACAATGGGGGCGACTTCTTTATATAAAGCTGCGGCGAGACTTAATAATCTATTCGGGCTTATAAAAATATTCAATAAGGCACTCTATGAGTTTAATTTACCTTTGGCATCAAGATGGAATCATTCTTTTCGGGTAGCATAGCTATATATTTGAGTTGCGATGCCCCCAAATACTTGAACCGTACCAGTTAGCATGAAATACGCTATACGATGTCCGATATTGGCTTATTTGGCTGCATGTTGTGTACAACAAATGCCCTGTAATGTTTTTTAAGAATAAATTTTGTATGTATTTCCTTACATGCAAATTTTTTTTTTCTAATCTTATTTTTGGTGAACATTTAGTTTTACATTTAAAATTTCAAGGCCTATTTAGAATACATGTGCAATTTAGCAATTTGAGCCTCAGAAAATTCGAACACGTTCTGTATAGTTGTCGTTTATGGCGTATCGTTGCCAAATATTCATGCACTCTCTATCAAAATGCATTTATTTTGATATGATTCTATTTTTGTTCATGCCTCTATCGTATCGAATATATGATGGGAAAAAAGAAATAGAATTATCGTCAATATAATTCAGGTGATGTTAATTGATAACGATACATACAGCTCGGCGTATATGTGTACATATTGGTATCTCTATCCAAGTTGTGTATGGTGCACTGTGTCGATATCTTCTTCGCGAAAATCACACTTCTCAAAGTCTGCATCTAGTATTTAAGACACACTGCTGCAATTCTGTGATCCAATTTCAAACATTTCTCAGGTGATGCTACAGTTAGTTTTCGGAAAAAAATAGATAAAAATCGCAAGTATCGACAACAATCAGCAATTTCGATGAAGTGTATTTTTTTGTTTCAATGAAAAATTGTGTCAATATTTTTATCTGTTATAATTCTGCTAAGTAATCACTTTAATCATTGAAGTATAAATAATTGTATACATAATTTAATTTTTCGATGTATTAAGAATATATATGAATGAAATGCACACACTACATAGACACTAACTCGAGAAAACATACGGTTAACTAAATAACACAGACAATAATTTAGTAAAATCTGACAGTAAACTAATGTGAATTGACATTATGCTTTGTTGACAATAATTGATTCGCATGAAGTTAATAAAAATGTGATAATATTGTTTTTCTTTTAAGATCATACGAGGAAGTTACTGAAATCAAAATATTCATAGCCTTTATTGTTAATAATATTATTAGATCTCAAGGATTGTTAGGTAATTGGTCCTTAATGTTTTGGGGGCTATTTGCAAGAATCCCTCTTTTAAGTTTTTTTTTTTAATGAAGGAAAACGTAGCCAATAATATAGGTGCACTGGGTAAATTTACACTATTGTACAATATTTTGCAAACAATACGAGATACATAAATAACACTAAGCAAAGTATGTGTGAAAAACTCGACCTAGCGACCGTTGGCAATGAGATTCAAACTTGGGTCAATTGATAAAGCTCACTTGCCACTGGGTTGGAAATCGGACCGAATGGATCGAAAATAGCTTTTTTTTTTTTTTTTTTCGAAAGTAAAAAATAGGTTCCACTTTTCATTCTAAAAATATCGCAATGCAAAAATTCATTCCGGTTTTGGAATGCCTCAAAATCGGTGGAATATTATTATGTTTATTTAATTTGATATGAATACATAAAAATACTAAAAGATTAAATTAATTAGAAAGCATTTCTTTTTGTCCATTTTTTTGTTTCTTTAATTTATTTTTGTTCCAATAACTAAAATATTAAATTACTAAAAAAAATTAATATTAAAAAATATAATTAAACAACATCATAAATAAATACAATAATAACATCTCAAACAAGCTTTTTCAAGTCGGCTTATCAAGCTCACGAGGTGGCTAAATTTATTGACACACCCCTGATATTCTTACAAGTTAAAATTTCTTTTTGTCTTTTTTTTGCACAAAATAGTAACTCTTATAATTTAAATACGTACAAATAAGATAAATAGGATAATAAAACATCAAATAAATAAAGAAAAAAAAATTCAAAATGTGGATTTGAACAAAAACTGCAAACAAATATTCCATTACTAAAAACCTCAAAAGTAAATTGTGACTCCACATGAATGGTAAAAGATCGGGGACCCCACCAAATACGCACCCCAGGCCCCCACCCAAACATAATAAAAATAGGTAATGAAAATTCTACATTTTGAATATATATATATATATATATATATATATATATATATATATATATATATATATACTGTTATATGTATATAACCTATAAAATATTGGTCTACATAAAATTGAAAGATAATAGTAAATATATTATAAAATCATTTAGTTTTTTTTTAAATAGTAACTATCAAATATTTATCAATAATATTATGCTAATTATGTTTTACAAGATAGTTATTGTAAAATATAATATTAAAATTTCTAATTGATTTTCTGACTCTCTAATTTGCAAGAAAGATAAGTTAATTAAATTTTCTATTATTTTTAGATATGAAGAACCAATTAAATAAAGAAAATAGAGCTGAAAAGAGCTGGACACGTGGTGCCATCTTAAAACTCGTCATTTGAAATGACGCTTTATTAAGCACCATAAATCTGTTGGGCACGTGGCGTCTTCTTAAAACACGTAGTTTGTAATGACGCATTAATCTATTTCTGAAACACTCTAAATTTAAAAAAGTGTCCTAGAAAAAAAATTGCTTATTTCCTCATATTATTTGTCAATTAAGAGTGTCACTGTCAAGTCAAAATTAATTTATTTTTACTACATTTATCTTTTATCACTAATAAAAAATTTACAATAGAACCTCGATAAATTAATAACCTTGCTTAAATAATAGTTTCTCTCGGTTGACTCGGTGAAAATATATTAAATTATTAACTCGATAATTTAATAATTCGCTAAATTAATAGAATTTTCCTAGTCCGTACTGTACTAATTTATAGAGGTTCAACTGTACATGGAAATAAAAGATCATCAATAGCTCTCTTATATGTGTAGAGGACAATTTTGGATTTTCTATTAAGTAATGTCATAAGCCCTAAAATTATACTTATGCAAAGAGGGAAATATATTTTTTGTTCCAATAAAAGTCTCTTAATCTTATATTTTATTTATATAAATTCTTTAATTAGTGTTGAGTTTTAGGTATTTGTGACTATTTTATCTTTCATTACTTCATTCTACTTATTCCATAGTTTATACATAATTGAGTATGGTCCTGCAGTAATGAGTTTCGATGGTATGTAAACTTAACCCAAACTCAAACTCGACTCATATTCCAATTGCTGCCCACTTGATGTCATAGTAATACCTTAATATAATCAGGTGTATATGCATGTTACCACGTGGAGCATTTAACTTCCCGATCTCGATCTACTAGTTAATTCGAAAAGCATCGCCATTTTTTACTAGAAAAGCGTGTAAGTATATACATGTGATATATGATATCACAACATAAGTTAAGCGCCTGCAAAACGTGTTTTGCAATGCAACATTGCTAATAAAAGAGCTAAGAAAAAGAACAAATCCAAGAAACCAAATTTTCTTTTGTCACGCAAATTTTGCTTCTACTTTCTTTTTAAAAGTTCAAAACAAAATGTTTTGTTTGTAGCGCCAAAGCATAAAAACAAACTCTCCAGAAAATAAGAAAAAAATTCAATTGTCTCTTACTGTTTTTACAACTTCCATGGCTTTCTGATAATTAATGACACAAATTAAAGTCACTTTATTGCAACAAACACCTATTGATCAATTCAAGAGGTGCCCATACTTTTTTTTTTTTTTTTAAATTTAATTACCACTTTCTTTGACCTTTTATACAGACCACAGACCTCCATAAATTCTTCACCCCCACAACCGTTTCTTGTTCCATTCATTCATTCATTCCCACTCAACTCCAAATTCCAAACTCATAATAAAAAATAAAAAAAAAAAGAACAAAAAAGAAAATGGAAATATCAAGAAGAAAATTAGGTGCATTTGTTGTAATAACAATTAGCATGGTGGTGGTGTTATTATCAAGTAGTAGTGTGCATGGAGATCCTCTTGTACCAGCACTGATCATATTCGGCGATTCTGTTGTCGACGTCGGAAACAACAACAATTTGCAGACGTTGATTAAGGCCAATTTCCTTCCTTACGGTAGAGATTTCGTCACCCACAAACCTACCGGAAGGTTCTCCAATGGCAAGCTCGCAACAGACTTCACCGGTATATATATATATATATTCTCATTTTTTTAATTAATTAATTTGCACGGACACACTATTTGATATATAGATACATGCATGTGTAATTAATAACATGTTATATATATACTTTTACAGCCGAGTATCTGGGTTTCAATTCTTACCCGCCGGCGTACTTTAGCCAAGAAGCAAGATCAGGTAAGAATATTCTTACGGGTGTCAACTTCGCCTCCGCCGCTTCTGGTTATTATGACAGAACTGCACAACTATATGTAAGCTCTCCTCTCTCTCTCTCTCTCTCTCTCTCTCTCTCTCTCTCTCTCTCTCTCTCTCTCTCTATATATATATATATATATATATATATATATATATATATATATATATATATATATATATGATCACCTCATAATTCAGACAAGAAAAACACACACAGAGAAATAGAGGAGTAAAATACACTTTTCGTCCCTGAATTTACCCGAGTATAACATTTGGTCCCCTTGCTCACAAAAAATATATTTAGTCCCTTATGTTTCAATTATTTAATACTTCTGGCAGGGGCGGACCTAAATGTGCCGCCCCTGTAAAAAAAAATTGTAGCAATTATCAGTTAAATTTTGTATTTTATTTTGGTATTTTTCTATTAGTTTATAGACTTTGGCCCCCCAAGATTTAAATTTGTACATTTTAACCCATGAAAAATATATTTTTCCTCCTCTTAATTTGAACCCATATTTCGCCCACCAAAAACCCCCTAGGTCCGCCCTGCCCTACACATGCATGCATGTGTAATTCCGTTGTGTAATTGAAACATAAGGGACTAAACCTATTTTTTTAAAATAAGAAGGACCAGATGTGAAATTCAATGTATTTTGAGCGGGTGTTTTTTGCAGAGGGCGCTGACATTGACGCAGCAGCTAGCAAATTACAGGGATTGGCAGAGCAAAGTGGTGAATTTGGTGGGAAGGAGCAAAGCTAACGATATATTCTCAGGAGGGATTCATCTGATAAGTGCAGGGAGCAGTGATTTCATTCAGAATTATTACATTAACCCTATTCTCAACACTGCTTACACACCTGATCGTTTCTCCGACACTCTCATCAGATCCTACTCTACCTTAATCCAGGTCATCCTATTGTTTTCATAAATGGGGAAATTAATTACAGTTTTCATCCTTCAAGTTTGCACCGATTTCACATTTGGTTCCTTATGTTCCAATTATTTAACACTTTTAGTCATTTTCGTCAATTTACCATTAGTCCGTTAGTCATTTAACAATTTTGAAATTAGTGCAAACTTGAGGGATGAAAACTGTCTTTTTCGATTTTCGCTTTGAGTTGATATTGTGTAATTGACAGAATTAGTAATGCATGTGTTTGTTTGGACAGAATCTGTACAGTCTGGGAGCAAGAAGAATCGGAGTGACGTCTCTCCCACCGACGGGATGCTTGCCGGCGGCGATAACACTATTCGGTGGCGGAAGCAACCAATGCGTGGCCAGGCTCAACCACGACGCCGTTTTGTTCAACAATAAACTGAACGCCACGTCACAGAATCTGAAGCCCAGTTTGCCCGGACTCAAGCTTGTTGTCTTTGATATCTACCAACCTCTTCTTGACTTGATCACTAAGCCCACTGACAACGGTAACTATCCTTACAAATTAAATAATTGGGTAAATTACAAAACCCCCTGAACTTAGGCTAAATAACGGAAAATACCACCACCTATTCGTAATTATCAAAAACCCTCTTGAGATTTGTTTCCGTCTTACACCAACCCCTTATAGTGTGATTTTTGACAAAATTGTTTTGATTGCAGGGAATAGACTTTACACAATTTCATATATTTTCTTTTATTACTCGCCTATTTAACAAAAAGTATAATAGACTGTACACATTTTCTGTTAAAAAACTCGATCAACAGTTATTAAGATCAGGAGATTTTGCGTTGTTACAAATAGATGGGGGTATTTTTATTTATTTAGCCTACGTTCAGGGGAGTTTTTTTTATTTTACCCATTAAATAAAGCACTCATGAGGTAATGTCAAATTATAAAAAAATCCCTCGTGCATGTTTGGATAATTACAATCATCTCTTCAACCATGTATTGTCTTACACGTCCACTTTTACAGTGTCAAATTTACCAGCTGGATGGGGTTTTGTCGTAAGAAACTAGACAGTTGAATAAAATAATTGTAATCACCCGAATAGGAGGGATTTTTCGTAATTTAATTTTAACTCACGGAGTTTGGCCATAGTTTACCCCTTAAATAGAGTCGAACTACTTTTATATAATATATATTTATTATTAAATATTATTATTTTTTGGGTGGGGGGCAGGATTTTTTGAATCGAGGAGGGCGTGTTGTGGGACAGGCACAATAGAAACATCATTTCTGTGCAACGCGAGATCAGTGGGCACGTGTTCAAATGCAACACAGTATGTTTTCTGGGATGGATTCCACCCCTCTGAAGCTGCTAATGAGAAATTAGCACAGTCTCTACTTGAACAGGGATTTGATCTTATCTCTTAATTAATTCAATTCCCACTACAATCCAATACAATCATCTCTGCTTAATTAATTCTGCTTTAATATATTAATTATATTATCATTTCTTTATTAAGCTTGTCTTAATTAAAGTTTGTACCCTCTACATTTGGTTTAAGTATATATATATATATATATGATTTAAGTATATTCTGTTGATTGTACTCCGGCCTCTGTATGAGATGAAAAATGTTATTTAAGGACTTGGGAGTCAATCATATTTTTTAATTAACCTTTATTTATCAAAGTCATGCAAACAATGACGATTTCTTTGTTTGAAATTAGAAAAATATAGCTTGGATTGCGAAAACGGTGACGTGACACACTTAAAACACTTGACCTAAATGATTTGTCAATATGGGGGGACTATAGCAAAGTCTTCTAAGCCATATAAAATAAATCAGCATCATAATAAAGAAAGACTTTCTGAAACATACTTTTCAAACATTTTGTGTTACTTTGACTTCAAATAAAAAACGACTGATATGGTATTTCATATTCAGAAATGTTAATTCTGCAATATACTTTTTTTTTTTTTTTCTTTTACATATTAGACAATCTTCAACAATAAATTTATGTTTAAATCGCATCTTTTGAACCATATCATTTACACTTGAGGTCAAACATTAAAACAAACAAAAAGAAAGGGCAAAACCAAAAAAACTCTTCTCTTTTTTGTAAAATTAACTAAAATTAACGGTTCTTCAATTCTTTTCACAGACCACGAGAATATCTAAATTGCCCCTAAATAAAATAAAAAAAATTATTATGCATAATTCACAACAAACTTATCGAAATTTAAATCAACAGAATATACTTAAGTATATAAATATCATGTTGATTGTAATATATTATAAATCTACTTATCAAAAAATATATATATATATATATATATATATATATATATATATATATATATATATATATATTTTTTAAAATCTGGGCTCATTGTAATTGCACTTGTTGGATGATGGAGTTTTGTCAAATTTTCCCATATATATAAATCACAAATAATCCTAGTAGGTATGTCACAATTACAAAAACTCTCTTTTGTCAGTTCAATTATATTAATTACTTACCCATCAAAATTCTATTAATTTAATTATATTACTTCCTCCGTTCTAAAATAATTAACGTTGTAAGTTGTTGCGCACACATTAAGAAAATTAATAAATATGTGTGGATTTTAGAAAAATACATATAATATGACTAAAATACTCGTGTAATTAATTACATCTCAACTAATTAACAATAATAACTAATGAAGACATAATTGAGAAAACAATAATTAATGCATCATTGGAATTATAGAGTGATAGATAATATGGAATAAGAAAAACTGCGTAAAGTGACAGCTAATTTGGAACGAAAGTACCTAAGATGTAGAGGTTGTTAGAGAATGCAATTACCGAGGAAAGCTCTATTTTATCAAATAGACACTACAAACAAAATGGAGCCATGAACACACATAATATTTATAGGCAATTTTCTCCATCACACATTAATATTACATCAATATTACATTCAATATTACATCAATATTACAGGTTCTTTTATAATTATTATATGACAAATATAACACATTATTTGGCAACATTAATTACAATGTACAAACAATCTTGACAAATAGAAAATATAAATGTTTCTCCAATAATGAAGAACAACATCATCAACTTTTACACAACTTCCACAAATTTCAGGACCCACCGCCACCACCACACCCTCCGCCTCCGCCTCCATCACCGCCAAAGCCACCGCCACCACCAGCACCGCCGCCACGACCGACCGGGCGTCTCTTCCTAGGAGGCTTGGCGGTGGCGGAGCCACCGTGATCAGCGCATGCGAAAATGAGGATAGACATGATTGAAACGGACAAAACAACCATGCCAAGCATTAACATAAAACCTGAGCTCTGATCAACCATAAAACCTGACTCACTTCCCCCATAATTCCCAATGCCTAAAATTCTAGTCATCTTATTTAAATTATATTTTCAGAGGATATATCTTACCTTAAAATATGTGCATTATAAGGGCTATATATATACACATAATTATGTAGTTGAATGAGTATTATGATTATTTCGTTACGTTTCTGGTTACTTCCATGATCACCATATTAGTTATTTTAAGCTTGGAATATTCCGTCTGAAATTTCTGTGTGCATTCCTTTCGAATTTTCTAATAGTTGTTTACTTTTAATCAGTTCACAACTTGCACTTTCAAATAATTTTGAAATAATTACATATAGCTCTCCGTATCAAAATGGAGATCATTATAATCCAGATAAATAAATCATTATAGTTGAAATTAAAGTACTTATTAGAAGATGGCGTACATAGAGAGTAGATACAGCTAATTTTTTTATTTTATGTTTTTTTTTTTTTATAATTTTTTGTTTACAATTATAAAATGTTTTTGGGCCAAGGAAAGAGAATTTTTATTGCATGAAATACATGGGGCCTCATTAAATTTTTTGTCGGCATAGCGAACAAGGAAAATAGTAACACATTGTTTTCGAAAAAGACGAATACCAATTCTATCTAAAAACTACGTGCCTAAGACTATGAGGTATAATTTTTGTTTTATAATTATTAAATTTTTTTGGCCAAGAAAAGAGAACTTTTATTGCATGAAATGCAGAGGGGGCCTCGTTAAAAACTTTGTCGGCATAGAACAAGGAAAACAGTATCCCCTGTTTACATTGTTTTCGAAAACGGCAAATACCAATTCTATCTAAAAAAAACGTGCGTGCCTAAGACTATGAGGTAAGTCAACTGTAGCAGTATATCGACGCTGATCTCCTTATGCTCGTGAGCCAAATCCAAACCATCAGCAACCCTATTTTTTTTTTACCGAAATATATGCTTCACACTTTAATTATGCTGAATAAACCTTCGAATTTTCTTGATAATGTAATTTATGTACTCACAAAAACATTATTAATTAGGGGAATTTATCTACAGGTCCATGGTGAACTAATTAAAAACCAAGTCTACTCATAAAACACCTTTTATGAACATAAAAGGACGTACAAACAAGATCTAAAACTTTTTTGGGGACAAACAAGTCTCCCTTCTATGTTTATCGTTTGCCCTCTCTCTCTCTCTTGTTTATGTTGTCCCCAACTCCTCTCTTTCTCTATTTTTTTTCTATTCTATTTAACATATTTGAATTTATTCAAGGTTAAATTCAGTTATGGTTGTGGAGGCTATGACGGTGGTTATGGTAGATGGCGACGGCTATGGAGGCGGTGGGTATGGTGGCGGTGATTATGGAGGCGGTTATGGAGATTATGGCAATAAGGGAGATGGTTATGGAAGCAAGGAGGCGGCGGTTATTGTTGTTTGAGGTCAGATCTATGGTGGAGACGGTAACTATGGCGGCTAGGGTTGGTGGGGCGGCTAGGTTTTGATAGATGGGGTTTAGCGGCGGCTAGGGAGTTATTGGTTGTAATGGTTTGGCGATGGCTGGAATTTGTCAGATGTTATGGTTTGACGGTGGCTGGAAGATGTTGGACGTTGGGGTTTGGTGGCGGCTGAGAGTTGTTGGATGGTAAGGTTCAGAATAGTACCTCGTAGTAAACTATAGTAAATCATAGTACACCATAGTACACCATAATATTTTTACAATCTGCTGTATTATTTAAAAAACACGAAAATATGTTTTTTTTTTCATAATTTTCAATATAATGTTAAAAATAAAGAAAATAGGAACTTGTTTATAATAATGTAAAAAATGCTAGAATGAAAAATGAAAAATTAAAGATACCGAAGTCTGTAAAAAAAAAAAAAAAAAACAAAATATGTTAAATGGAAAAATGAAGATATTAAATGTATAATAAAAAATGATAAATGTAATTTGAATTTTACTGAATGCAGATTTAGAATTTGTTAGTGGAGTGACATTTTTGGAATGAATTTTGTAAATGATGTGAAACAAATGCTTAGTTTGAATTGTCATTTAGTTCTAATAAGTTTCTCAGTAGGGACTCCTTCTAATAAACACACACCAATTTCAGTGTTGCGTTTGTGGTGGAAATTGGATCGAACTTTCCAAACCCCGTCGATTTCGAAAATTACACTTATAATATCAATAAAATGTATATAAAGTTTGGAATTTTGTTGTTTTCGATCCGAAAATTTTCGATTTTAGAACAAGTTTTTTCCATTCCAATTTTTGAAATTTCAGTTTTCAATATTTTGTGACGAAATTGTAATTATTTTTTTGGAAAAAAAATGATTTTTTTTAAAAGTGCCGATTCCAATATGATACTTAGCTTCCAATTTCCACCCATATTTGGGACCTTATAACTAATTCAAAACTTTAAAGGTAAATTACGGCAACCCTGAGGTAAGGTTAACTAAGAAAAAAATCCCTCATGTTTGGTAATTACAATCACCCCTCAACTATGAATTTTCTTACACGTCCACCCTTATGATGTCAAATCAACACAATCTTCTACATTTCGTAGAATGTTTTCTAGTTTGAACTCGTTTTGCTCAAAAATGCAGTTTCGAATGCACCATAATACGATATTTACAAGCCAAGAGACACATCTTATGATCACCTTGTTTCAAAATATGGAGCTCGAATGGGGTAAAACGGATACAAACTGGAGAATATTCCACTTAATCTAGAAGATTCCTCTAAATTTGACACTGCAAGGGTGGAAGTGTAAGAAGATTCATAGTTGATGGATCGTAGTAATTTCCCAAACATGAGATTTTTTTTGGATAAATTACACATACACCCTCGAGGCATACTTAAATAACTTTAAAGTATTTATAGTATCGGTAATTATAATCACCCCCCTCAAACATTATTAAAAACCCTAACGGAATAATGCACTTGATAAGTTATTCTGTTAGGGTTCTAACAGACTATTAGTTTCAGGCAGTGGTGGAGACAAAATAGAGTTAGGGAGTGACATGACTCTCCTAACATTTCTTAAATCCTTATTATTATTTTATATAAGTTTAATATTTTT